ATGCAGAGACCTCGGCACGGCTGGTCCTGCCGCGGTGCATCTGCGCCTTCTGCAGAAGGGACGGGCCGGTTTCAACCAGATGCAGCAGGGGACCCAGGCGTTAAGAACAGGCCCAAACTCTCTCCGCACCCCCGCCAGCTCCTGTCGTTTCCTGACTTCTGACTGGTGTGAGGTGGGATCTCATGGTGGGTTTGATTTGCGTTTCCCTGATGCCGAGCCTCACGTGGAGCATTTTCTCATGTGTCTGTGGGCCATTTGTATTTCTTTGGAGAAATGTCTGTTCATGTCTTCTGCCCAATTCCTTGACTGGATTATTTGTTCCTTAGGTGTTGAGTATGGTGTGAAATTTAAGAAACAGGATCATAGGGGCGCCTGGGTGGCTCAGTCGTTAAGCGTCTGCCTTCGGCTCAGGTCATGATCCCGGGGTCCTGGGATCGAGCCCCGCGTCGAGCTCCCTGCTCTGCGGGAAGCCCGCTTCTCCCTCTCCCGCTCCCCCTGCTTGTGTTCCCTCTCTCGCTGTGTCTCTCTCTGTCAAATAAATAAAATCTTAAAAAAAAAAAAAGAAAGGATCATAGAAGGGAGGCAAAAATAAGACGAGACGAAATCAGAGAGAGGGAGACAAATCATGAGAGACTCTTAACTGCAGGGAGCCAAACGGAGGGCTGCTGGAGGCTGCTGGAGGGGAGGGGTGGGGGGCAGGGTCACTGGGTGATGGGCATTAAGGACACATGATGGGATGCGCACCAGGTGTTGTACGTAAGTGATGAATCGCTGACTCTAGCTCTGAAACTAACAATACATAATATGTTAATTGGATTTAAATTTAAGTGCATAGTTAAAAGAAAAAAAAAAAAACAACCCAGCCCCAAACTTCAACCTCTGGGTGGACCTTGACCGAAGTGCTTTGTTGGAAATAAAAAGCCAAATGGAAAAAATAAATTAGGGTCTGGTTACTACTCTGGGTTGGAAGGAGAACTCGGGGGATGCCGTGTGCGGATGAAGGATCTGCTGCAGGGCAGTGGAGGCGCTCCGAAGGCCGCCGCCCCGGGAAACCAGCACGCCACGGAGGGTTCAGTGACCAGGGGAGACCGGAGCAGTAGGACGGGGAGGGCCAAGGACAGCTGGGGACCCAGCCTCCTTCCCAACAGTGTCAGAGCCTCAGTCATCAGGTCACTGGCTTCTAGAACACCAACTCCACGTGAAGGTGCGGGGTCAAAGGCTGTCGATAACCACTGGAAGGGAAGGGGGCACCCAAAGCTACCCGGTACCTGCAGGGAGCACAGGCAGAGCTCCTCCCCCAATCACCCCTGGAGCTCCCCCACCAAACTGCCACCCCTCCTGCCTGCCAGGACTAAAGCACGAGCCACAGGGAAGTTTAGAAACCATTCCTTTCTTTATTAAACATAGCTTGCAAGTGATAAATATTACAAAGTTTTTTCTTTTAATCCTTTCTCCAAAAATTAGCTTATTATTTGAATCTGTTACTGCTGAAATGCTCAGCAGCATCTGAAACAGATGGGAGTGTATTTGCCTTTTTGAAAACCAGTTTCTGTTGGTCTTAGTTTTTTCATTTTAATTTCCAAACACAATGCAGAAAATCAGAATGAGTTAAAAAAAAAAAAAAAGGAAACTTAGAGCCTGTGCAAAAGGGTCTTGCCCCCCCCACCCCCATTCAGAGAGGCCCATCCCGCCCCAGCCCCGCTCCCCGCCCCAGCCCTGCTCTGCCCCACCCTTCACCAGGCCTCAGCCACCTTCCCAGATTCTCTCCAGGCGTCCCCGGCCAGGAGCCTGGAGTGTGGGAGCCTCAGCCCAGGCTGTGGGGAGCCGCCTGCAAGGGCTCACGTGAGTTCTGAAGGAGACAAGAACTGGGGTGCATCTGAGCTCTGCTACGTTGTCATCAAGAAGATGGGCAAGTTCTGCACCCTGCAGCTCACAAAGGGTGTGCGTGACTAGACCACCAGCCCGGGCACCACTGCTCAAGCACCCCAAGGGCCCTGTGGCTGCTCGTGATGGGGTCGAGGGTCTGAGGGCAAAGCAGTCACAGGTCTCCTGATGTCTAGACATCACTCTGCTGCCTCTCCCAAAACCAAAGTATTGGCAGGGGCCTGGCAGCCCTCACGGGCATGGTCACACACTGCACCTCAACATGTAGGTGTCCTCCCTGCATCTTCAGCCCCACACCTTCCCCACCTCAAGCTGTTGTTTTGCAGGTGAGGAAGGAAGCATAAGGTAGAATTTTACACTTGGTGGCCAGGTGATCTCCCCTGTCACTTCACAAACAAGAAAACCGAGACCCGGAAAATGAACTCTACCAAAGGTCACAAAGCAAGTTAGTGGGAAAGCCCGGGGCCAGACCCCAGGTCTCCGGACGGTGCTGCCACCCCACCCCGTGTGCTGTGGCGCTTCACGCTCCACGGCCCAGACCAGGAACTCTAGCTTTCATGGTGACCCACCTCACCCCAATTTTTACGAAGCCGAAAACCGTGTGCAGATGTATGTGGCTCCGTACGTGAGGCTTTCTTAGGATGACTTGTTAAAATCCTATCACCCCTTGATAATCTACTCTCAAAGACCCATGGAACTAGGTTCTTTTTTGGGGGGGTGGGGTGGGGGAAATCCCTTGCATAAGAAAGCTTGACACTGAATTTTGTTATATAGGTATATTGTATATATGCTGATGCAATCAGAGGAAAAAAAACAGTGCAAATACAGTTACAATTCATAATAATACTTGGTTTCAATGCCCCCGGGAACTGCCCCATTCCTCGGCTACCTCCCGACCCCCCAGCACTTCCCCACAGTATCCACCTAATGCTGGGGTGTAGGGAGGGGGGCAGGTTAGGGTAGGGAGTGGGCTCTGCCAAGGCAGTGCTGGTGACCCGGAGGACTACTCCAGGGCGGGAGGCAAGGCACAAATTAGGGGTGGGTGGTGGGGGAGGTGGCATCTCTAAGGAGGGATGGGGCTGGAGCAGCCGCCAGTCTCAGTGTGCTGGGCCCGGCCCACTCCCCGCCCCACCCTCCACAGCCCTGCCTCCCTACCCCCGCCCCTTCCCCAGAAACCCTTTTGCACGGATCATACACAAACGGGCACATTACAAAATGACATAACACAGTTTCACAATATCCATGGCGAGGGCTTTTTTTTCTCTTTTTCAGGTTTTTTTTTTTTTTTCCTACACAATGTACAATTCCTTTTAAATGGATCAAGAAATAGCTTATATACACGAAATGAGTCCTTGTTATAACATCTCGGCAGCAAGTATCATAAGCTAATGAAGGTCTTGTTGGAGGGCAGGGGAGCCTAGGGCTGGGTGGGGTGGGGTGTGGAGGGTTAGGGGGAAGGAGTGCTTGGGGAAAGGGGCAAAAGTAAAATACCAAGAAGCATCTTTACAAAGCGGCTCTATAGCTAAGTCCTTTTAAAGGGGAAAGGAAAGGTAACCAAAGCAGGAAAACATTTATCTTTGTGTCTTAAAAAAAAAATTGTCTACCATACATACATCCAAAAATGTGGAAAAATACTTATTCCAGGGATGGAGAAAGTCCAGATGCTGTGGTCAAATGACAAAAATAGAAAATGAAAATTAAAAATTAAAAAAAAAATTGACAAATGAGGACCTCTGTCCCTCAGCTTTACCCAAGCTTTCCTGCTCATCTACTCATTTGGGGCGTCTAGGGAGTAAGCCACTGTCCATAAACCACGACCTGGAGAGCCTCTGGATACGGAGGAAGCCAGGAAGAACCAGGGGGTCCTCACTCTAATCACCCCCTGAGCTTCAGAGCCCTGGGGGGGAGGATAACTCTGAACAGAGCGTTTTCCTCCCATCTTTAGGCATGAGGTTTAGTGTCTGTGGGCCCAGCCGGGGGATGGAGAGCAACAAGAGACTCGGAGGGACACAAGGTGATCAGTGATGAAAAACTAGAGAAATAAGGAAGACAGAAGGATGGGGGTGGGGAGCGAGGGAGGAGGTGGAAGGCTAATACTTCACCATGATTAAGGAAAACTCACCCCCATCACGAATCCCAGGGAAGGGTATGAAAATGGGGAGGAGGGGTAAGAAATCAAACCTCAGCGATTGAGCAAAGGGTCACGGAGCTATACTAGTCAATAAGCAGCCTCTGTGCAACGGAGCCTGAGGGGACAGAAGCAGGGAAGGCTCTCCCTGCCCTCCACCCACCCGTTACCTCAGCACCCCGGCAGGCACTCGGCTGGGCAATCCTTCCCCACTACTCCCCTCCTGTCTACACACCCTACTTCCAAACCCCATTCAAAGGTGGCCTGGCTCCCAGGGAGGAGGCTCAGCTCAGGGCAGGGATGGCCCCCAACCAGACGGTATTGCACATTCTCTGTTCCTTACTTTTAATCTCAAGTGACAGGCTTGGGCGCCTGGTACCTCCGAGCTGGGGGAGGGGAGACATAACAGAAATGGCACTTCATCGTGGTGGGCGGGGTGGAAGAGGCTAGACAGACCTGCCACAAGGCAAGATGACTTGGGCGGGGGGGAGGGGGGAGCTTCCAAATTCGTGGAAGAGAGAAAAGCAAAACCAAACGATTTATCCAGTGCTTTCAAAGCACAGAGGGTAAAGAAAAGATGTAAGAATATATCTTTATATATATATATATAATTTTAAAATAATCCCAGACCCAGTTTCATAACCCCCTCCCTCTCCCACCACTTACAGTCAGGGGTACCATATTCCCCCTGAAAAATACTCCGAACAGCCCCATCATCATCTGTTACTAGCATCTAGCTTCAGATCACTTCACCACTGGGGGAGCCCAGACACAGGCTGCATCTCTGCTCCTTTATTAAGTGCTCAATGAATTTGGGGGAAGGGAGGAAAGAAAAAACCCAGGGAGGCCCGTAGGGCCAGTATAGTAACCCGCAGTGGCTCTGGGGTATGGGAGAGGGGGGTACTGAGCCTGATCCCAACTCCTTCTCCACCCCCCCAACCCCCAAACTTTATGAGGAAGGTGTGCAGTTTGTGTGTGTGTGTGTGTGTGTGTGTGTGTGTGTGTGTGTGTGTTAATTTTAAAAGTGCCTTCTTACTTTAAAAAATTATTTAATTTCTTAACATAAAAGTGGGGGAATTTTTCCAGGTGGCTTTCAAGGGCAAACTCGTCTTCACACCTCTCTGCTCCAAGTAACCCTTCCCCCCTTCCCCACACTCTGGCAGCTTCTAGAGCGGCACAGGCAGGTGAGTGAACATTACAGGAGAGCAGAAACCCCCACCTTGAAGGGGCTTCCCTTACCTCAAACCAGCCTGGTCCCTGCCCCCCGCCCCCAGGGTGTGGGCAGATGGGATGCTAACCTCCCCTGACCCCAGAACAGCAACATTGCACAATTCAGTTCATTCTCTACATTAGTAGCTCTTAAGAAAAAGCTGAAAACAACACAAAAGGAAAATTAATAGAGTTCTGGGGGGGGGGGGGGCGACAACAGCTACTTTGCACAGAGGTGCAGAGCTGGTTTTAACGAGAGGTGTCTGGTTCTGGGCAGCTGGTACTGCACTTAGTGCCGGACTCCGAGCTGGTCAGGCCTCCCTGCCCTCCCCTCCTGGCACCTGGCACCCAGGGTGGAGGGAAGGACAGATGGGGTCTCACCTGCTGGGAGACAAAGCCCTTCGTCTCCCCACCCCCACCCCCAGTCTATCTCTTCCCTCCTCTGTCTCACTTCTAGGACACCAGCTAACTCAGTTACAACGGGGCTGCGCTTCCCTCTTGCCAGGAGCAGATTAGGATTAAAAAGGCAGGGGGGAGGGGCAGAATTTTACAAAGCAAGTAAGATGAAATGATTTTGGGCTAGTTGACCTGGAAGAGACTTCCATCTCCACTGGGACCAGGAGAGCATCCAGGAGGCCAAGACCAGCCTCCGTTCCTCTTGGCTTGTCCTCATATGTCCCTGCCCCCTTCTCTGTGGATTAAAGCTTCTCCCTCCAGGATCTTTCCCCTCATTCTCAGAGCCCAACTTCAGTATGAACACTGCCTCCCAGACTGTCCAGACCAGAAACACCCAGGGCTGACGTCCTCTGTTTGATGCCAACACCCCACCCCAGGTTAAGTGCATTAAAAATTTCTGCCCCCAACACTCCCAGTCACGTCCCATTGGGGAACCCCCTGCAATGCTCCTGTCATTTATCTGAACGTCATCTGTGTTAAAAAAAAAAAAAAAAAAAAGGCAAAAGAAAAGAGAAAAAGAAAAATACTGAGGGAAAATAAAAAGGTTTAACCGTCCACTGAACAAAGGGAGGACACACAACATCGTTAAAAATGACAATAATTATAGCATAAAAACTTTAGAAACACGCGTCAGAGGGCTTAGATGTCTCCCCAGGACCTCACTCTGACCTCTACCAGAGGCGAAGAGCACCTCACTGTGAGCGGAAGCTGGAGAGAAGACAAGAGCAGCAGGATCGCAGCAGTGGGAGGAAGGGGCGGTGGGGCAGGCGCGCGTTTTCCTGTCGGTTTCTAGGGTCGTCTTCTGTTTCGGTTTTGTTTTCCGTGTATGGTAGGCACCAGCACAGGCACTGCATGCGACGGACGTTCGGGGCGACGGGAGGGGGCAGAGGGTTCGAGGCTGGGCAGCACGAGGGGCGGGCGTTATTTCTGCCCGCTGATGGACTGCGCTATAGACCGGGGAGGGATCATGTCTAAAAGGTACTCCCGCTGTCGGTCTGCCAAACTGGGAGCTTTGTGTCCTCCAATGCCGGTGTTCAAGTACGCGATGTTGACACCTGGACCCAGGAGACAAAAGCGGGGAGGGGGGGCGGGGAGGGGCAGGCATTAGAAGAGGTGGTGGAACCTTCTGGACCGCGCCAGCTGGGGGCGCAGAGCTGGAGCTGGGGAGGAAGCTGCAGAAGCTGTCTGCACCTGTGCAGACTCAGTGAAGCTTTATGTCAGCGGCCAACGGCCCCTCTGCACCCCAGCTTTAGGGAGCAAGGTCTTCCTGACACTTCGGTCCTACCAGGAATATAATAAGCACGGTCTTGAAGAGGTGGGAGAGTCAGAAAACAGTGGTGAGGGCGCCTGGGTGGCTCAGCTGGTTAAGCGACTGCCTTCGGCTCGGGTCATGATCCTGGAGTCCCGGGATCGAGTCCCGCGTCGGGCTCCCTGCTCGGCGGGGAGTCTGCTTCTCCCTCTGACCCTCCCCCCTCTCATGTGCTCTCTCTCATTCTCTCTCTCTCCAATAAATAAATAAAATCTTTTAAAAAAAAGGTTCTCTATACCTTTCCCTCTGCCCCTTCCCCTACCCTCAAATAAATAAATAAATAAATAAAATATCTCAATTTCTGAAGTGGCCAATGGAAATATATTTAAAAAAAGAAAAGGAAAGTGGTGAGAGGGCATTAACCAAAGCAAAGAGGTGCACTCGCGGAATCTGCTCTGGGTCTGGGGCTGCCGACTGTGAAGCAGCATCCCTCCATCACTCAAACAGCACCCTGCTCTTCTCCCCAAGAGATCAGCAACCACACGCCCAACAGGGCGTACGAGACAGCGAACCGGGAAGGGCAGGGACTGGGCCGTTTTCACTACCAAAACCCCAGTGTGCTGTGTCTTGAATGTTATTATGAATTTAGCCAACACTTGCCAAATAACAGAGTGAAGGGAGGGGGCCTAAAGAGAGAGCAGAAACAGAAGCGGCAGCTGTCCGCCCAGGGAGCCGGTCCCAGCAGCACTTCTTACCTGGCATCCCGAGGAGGCCACCGGGCACAGAGAGCTGGGGCGCCTGCGCAAAGTTGGAAAGCATGGAACGGGCAGAGGTGGGTATGCCACGCTGCAGGCTGCTCTGGGGCTGTGGAGCCTGCAACGGTGAGCAGACGGTGGATCACAATGCAGCCGCCGCCGAAGGGACAAGGGGGAGGGAAGGGTATGGGAGCCCGGAAGAGCAGAATGACTTCCCACCGAAAAAGGACAAGATGGGACCAACAGCTGATGAGCCCTCCCAGAGAACCTCACCTGCCGAAGCGTATGATGTCTCATTATGGTGTCTTGTTTACTGACACTGGACACGGCTGGAGCCGCAGTGGGGGAGAGGGCTGCCTGCTGCTGGAGTCGCTGTTCAATTTCCTGTCGGGAGTCATCAGGTCAACTTGGCGGGACAGTACTCCATTTCCTACCCAGAAAACCTAGAGGTCTTCTTATCTCTAACACTGCCAGCGAGTAGGAGGGATACGGAAAAGGCAAGAGTTGGGTGGGGTAGGTGCGCTAAGATCTCTGGGCACAAGCAGCCAACACTGCTTCGCTGATCTGGGGATCCGTCTGTCCAGGAAAGCTGGTGCTCAGACTCGAGCAGGAGAGGCCTGGGTGGTGGCAACCGGCTGACTGGAGTGATGAACGCCGACATAAGTTTACTGAGGTTTTAGTTTTGACTCTTGTCTACCCATTTTCCAGAAGATACGTGATGCTACCCAAAGGGGTCTGATGAGTGGTGGGGTGGAGACGGGATAGAGGAGAAGGGTCCAAGCCTCCCAACACACCCTCCCCTCTCCCGGGTGTCCTGACTCCGCTAACCCCACAGGGCAGGTCCACTCGTTCCTCTCCCCCAGGCCATGTCACAGTTCTCTCTCTCCACTGTCATTTCCTTGCCAAACATGGACTAGAGAGACTCTGTCTCTCCAAGAGCTTCGGGTATAAACCCCTCCCACCACAATCCATTTGTTTGAGGAGGAAATGAAGTTGAGTGAATGGAGGGACTTCTCTGGTGCCACTAGGGATGGAAAGCCACATCTGAGCCTTCTGTCCCTCCCCACCCCAGACCACTCTGTCATTGTGCTCTTGCCCAACCATGGACAGTCAAATGGAAATGGGAAGCAAACAAACAGGGAACCCGGGCCTTGAGGTACCAGGAGCCGAGGTCGTCGGGGACCCGCGGGGATCACACAGACGACTCCACTAAAACTAGAAAGAACTACCTTTTGGGAAAAGCCAACCGGAGCAGGTGGCTGGTGAGAAGTCAGAATTCTTACCTGTTCCTGCTGTAGGGCTTTAACAAAAGCATTTTTCAGCCGGTTGGTGTGTTCAGCCTTTAGAGCCTTCTTCTGGTTGGAGGTCATACATTGCTCGCACAGAATCTTGCCATTCTTCTCCTGCTTCCAGTGGGGCGTGAAATCTGTGCGGCACTGGGCACAGACAAAGGGTTCAACCCGCAGGAGTGAGGCACAGCTCTTGCCTAGATGCCAACAAAAAGAATCATCAGGGCTTTCACACTCCCCACCTCCTGTTTCTTCATCAAATCAATTTTTCAGAAGATTATTCTGCTGAAGTAAGAAGGAGACTCTACAATTTAGAAAATACTTTTATTTCATTCAATTGTAACAACGTCACCTTAGGAAACTCAGAGCACAGCACCCCGTTCACAGACGAGGAAGCCAAGTCTGAGAAGCGTGGCTGCTCATGACAAAGCTGGCCCAAGAACCCATGCTCCCTGACTTCCTCGTCCGCCAGTGAGACAGAAACCTGCTTCATTCAGAGGACACTGGATCCATCCAACTCCACCAACACTTTTGCTTCATAGCATCTTTTTACGTCAGACTGCACTGATCCCCGGCCCAGACATTCACAATTTTTAGCTATCAATGTCTGAATCACTCACTTTGTGATCTGTTTAGAGTCAATACTTTCAGGCACCTTCTTCTACTGTCAGGTGTCCCCCTAAGTCCCCATGTTTGGAAATTCAGGCTTAGCAACTTCTGTTAGTGTTAATACTTCACAGTTTGGTTCAGGGCTGCTTCACAGCTTTCATGTGGTCAGAGTTATCTCCTTCAGTAAGTCTACTTTCTCAACTCTAAGGACTCAAACGGCAGGGACTGAACATGATAATGTAGCACAATGCCACACAAACACGGACATCAACAGTAAGTGTTCTACTCAACAAATTATGCATACATCATGCTAGGCACCGTTGAAAAGAACTAAACAATATACTGCAAAAACTATACAAGATACACAAAATACAGTAAAAATATGAAGCCTAAGCTATATAGACACACAAAAAGCATTTCTGCTATGTTGCTCCCGAACAGCCTCTGAATAACGAATGACAGGTGGTTTGGCAAGAGTAAGGAGAGGTCACTTGTCAATCAGGCTTGGCAGCCTCTTGCTCAGATAAAAGACTGACCAGAGGAAGTAGCCTCACCTTGGCTGTCGATGACACTCTGTACAACTTCTTCCAAGCCCACCATGTAGATGAACTCGCTATTGGCTGCACTAGGCAGGAAGTGAAGCAAGGGAGCGGGAGGTTTAGGGGGTGGAATCTCCAGGAGTGTCTTTTCCAGCTGTTTGCGAAGAGCCAATTTGGCTGCAGCCTGGGAGTTGGCAGCATCAGTCATGGCGCTGGGGCTAGGAAGTGGTGAGGACACTCTGTTCACGGTCCCTGGCTGGATGTGGGAGGCAAGGTTCATATAGATGGCAGAGGATGCTGTGCGCTGGCAGGGAACAGAAGAACTCGACTGCTGGAATGCAGGGAGCACAGGGGTCAGTGACGGGATGTGGGAGCAAGGACCAAGTCTTGCTTTCATGGCAGAAAACATTACCTGAGCCTCGTCTGGACTGCTTAGCTCTCCCAAAACTCAGGAAAAGATAGGAGGTGTCCAACCTCAATGAAAAAGATCTCCAGCACACAGGAAAGGAGAATGATAGTGGCTAGGACTGACAACTGCTGAGAGCTGAAAACAAGGGGATGCTCTCTGTCCTTTGTCCTTATGCTGCTTCTTCCCCAGGCCCCTGCTTTCTTCCAGGCAGGTGTCAGGCTCACCGCTGCTCTGCTGTACAGCCTCCCTTTGTCCACTCCTGTCCTCAGGGAACTCCCCTGTGCTACCACTTTCAGGACTGCTGTCAATTCAAGCTCCACCAAAACTACCCTGGGTTGTCCTACAGCTTCTCTATGTCCAAACCCCTAAATACTATGGTCCTTTCAACAGGGAATGCAATAAAAGACTTCTCCGTTTCCACATGAGGGCTCTCTTACCGGTTGGTAGTTGATGGCAGGATTCATGTTGGGTGTTGTGGTGCGTACAAGGCCTGGCTTGGGTGGGCCCCGCTGACCCTGTAGCTGGGCTGGGTTTGGTGCAATAACACGTTGAGACATCAACATATGTGGGAGGGTGGTAGTGGTCGCTGAACGGATGACACTGTGACCCTGAAGGGGGAGAAGAGGAAAAGAAGTAGTCATAGCTGGTAAAATGCCAATGAGGTTAACACTGTCTGTAACACATAGCTGAGTGGAAACACAGAGTGGGTAATTTTGTCTAACGATCTACGGAATAAATGTACCATCAATGTAAATCCTGATTAGTGGTAGGAATTCCCTGGTTTTACTTGGTATAAGCTATCTAACCCTAGATGGAAATGGGCTAAGCTAGAAACATCCAGATAAGAAAAACCACAATGGGAAGATAAGGATTATTCACCCTACTATGCCACCTAGTACCACATACCAAGTCATGCCAGGAGGGACCCAGGACTGAGTAACAGCATCCCTACTATGGCCAGGTTCTTCTAGAATTGTCACAAAAGTCCCAAACCAGAGATGGGATAGACAGGGCTCTCCGACACAAAGACCCCAAGGTGGGTCACATACCTGTAATGTTCTCAGACTCTGTGGTTCAACCCCTTGGGCCCCAGGCCGGGAGGGAAGCTTGGATAGGCCCTGCTGTCCCCCATGGGCAGGAGACGGCTGAACGATGGATGCTGCATTCTGCACAACTGGGGTCTGAGAGAGAGAAAAGACAATGAAACAGAGGCAGAAATCTGGAACACTCCCAGACTTTTAAAGTTCCTTGTTGGAATAAAGCTTCCGTTGACCAGAGGAAAAATGACAAAAATGGAATCAAGGCTTTCTTGATTAAAGCCTAAGATTTAAAAAAAAAAAAAAAAAAAAGTCACTATTCTTAGAAACTAAAAACCATGGAACCAGAGAAGAATGGGCCACCCAACCGAACCTACCTGGGGGAGTCCATTCTCAAACCCAGACCCGTATTACTAGGGCGTAATACCTTCTGGACCACGTTCTCTTTCTGTAGCTGGCTCTGCCTCAGTTTCTTTAACAGCACCAGCCGGGCTTCCTCCAATCGCAGCTCATCCCTCAGCTGCTTGATGAGCTGCTGCCGTTCCTCCACACCTTTCCCCTAAGGAGACAGGAGGGCTAGCTATGGGAGCAGGCACCCAGACAAAAAGTCCCTTCCTGCAAGATGATCTCTTCTTCTCGGTCTGAAATCATCTTCCACACCAAGCAGAAGCAGCACTGGGACTGGTATTTTTGTGTCCCTGGATTCCAGCACAGTGCTTGGTATTCAGCAGGTGCTCAAAAAATGCTTACAGAATGAAAGGAGAGACCACATATAAATCATAATCAACCAGATTTCTGGCAAAACAGAAGAATGGCCACAGGGAAACACTGCTTTCCTTTTTTTAAAAAAAGATTTTATTTATTTATTTGACAGAGAGAGACACAGCGAGAGAGGGAACACAAGCAGGGGGCGTGGGAGAGGGAGAAGCAGGCTTCCCGCTGAGCAGGGAGCCCGATGCGGGACTTGATCCCAGGACCCTGGGACCATGACCTCAGCCGAAGGCAGAAGCTTTAAGGACTGAGCCACCCAGGTACCCGACACCGCTTTCCTTTAAAATAATGTTTCTGGATCTTCTTAAGCCAAGTTTCTTCTAGATATACATAAAAACTGAGGAATCCCTTCATATTATGAGAACCAGGATAGAGTGGTTCCAGCCAAGAGTTTATGTGACTTATGAAGTTTTGTTTTCGTATTTTCCAAAGATAAGTTATACTGAATAAGCTTTGTCCAACTATCCTCTTCACTCCGTTCTAATTCCCTGTAAAAGGGCATGCCCTTGGGGTGCCTGGCTGGCTCAGTAGGTAGGTGGAACATGAAACTCTTGATCTTGGGCGTTGTAGGTTCGAGCCCCATGTTGGGTGTACAGGTTACTTAAAAATAAAATCTTTAGGGGCAGGGCGCCTGGGTGGCTCAGTTGGTTAGGCATCTGTCTTCGGCTCGGGTCATGATCCCAGAGTCCTGGGATCAAGCCCCACATCAGGCTCCTTGCTCGGCAGGGAGCCTGCTTCTCCCTCTCCTCTGCCTGTCGCTTCCTCTGCTTGTGCTTTCTCTCTGCCAAATAAATAAATAAAATCTTAAAAACAATCTTTAGGGGCATCTGGGTGGCTCAGTTGGTTGAGTACCCGACTCTTGATCTCAGCTCAGGTCATGACCTCAGGGTCGTGAGATCGAGCCCCATGTTGGGCTCTGCACTCAGTGGGGAATCTGCCTGAGATTCCCTCTCTCCCTCTGCCCCTTCTCCCGCTTGTGCTCTAATAAAAATAAATAAATCTTTGAAAAATAAAACAAATTAAAAAATTAAAGGGCATGCCCTTGAGGTTGAGAATCACTTATAAAAAGTTTCATCAATGGGTAATTACTTAGATTAAAAAAGTAAACTATAAAAACAAAGAACTGGGACTCTTAAAATAGGAGGAGCAAAAAATGAAGAAAGATATTTTTTCTTTCTTCTCTCTCTCTCTTTTTTTTTACCTTAAACATCTCTAGGTTGGCTGCTTTGAGTCTTTCTTCCATTCGGGAGCTGGAACGGGGACTGGAAGCCTCATTATCAGATAAAACAATGATGTCTGGGGAGGGAGTCAGTCTTCCTCGGTCTGGCTCACTAGACAAGAAAATATTAAGGTATTTCAACAGTGAAGGTTCATAGAAAAGTTAAAACTTTTTTCCTACTGAACAAAGAAATTCAAGGGAACTTATTAGGTCTGTCCCAATGCACCCAGGGGATTCAAATCCTAGGATGAAGAAAATACCAAGACAGGAGTGGTGCTAAAGCCTCAGTCACAGTACTTTCCATCTAATTTCCTTGTGTAGGGACAAGACACACACACAGTGACTGGCTTCAGAAATGGGAATAAGAGGTGAGTGTTATCACGTTGATCTGAATCAAAATTCTAAATGTTTCCCCTAGATCTCACTCTCCTTCGGGTTGTCTCATTAGCTATGTAGAGGCTCAAGAAGGAAACAGCTAGCTGGAAGGGCAAAGGTGGGGGCACAGCGCTAACGAGGGTCCTAAGCTCATTATGCCCGTAACACCACGGTCCTGGCTAAATGAGGGTTCACAGAAGAGGAGGTTTTATGACAACCCTAATGGTAGTCTGTCCTGTCACAAGTTAAGGCAGAAGAAGGTACTGTTGTCAGCTGCGTGAAGGAATGGACAGTGCCAAGTCTACAGCCTTCTGGAGGAAACTCCAAAATGCATCTACTTGCCAGACTGCCACTTAGCATCTTCCCTCAGCAAGAAACTCTCTAGAAACGACTCTGACATCTAAATCTTCCACACTGGGTCCCTGTATTCCCAATCTTATTTATTAGACAATTGTAGTTTTGGTCTTTTGGGGCTAGCCATAAAAGCATCATACTTGTTCTTCTAAGATGATAAAAAATGGCACCGAATTCTGGAGATTCTGCCTCAGGTTCCCAAATCAATAACCACATCTTCTAACTCTCTGATTTCTTAACTCAAAGATATCTTCCCAGAACCTACCGCCTCGAGATCTTCAGTGTAGTTAGGAAAACATATTATCTAAAGCAATTTTGTAGTTGTAACTTAAACATGAAACTCGAATCCCTAACACCCAAAGATCTTTAGTCCTGTGAGCCTCTCTACCATTTCTCTGGGTCTCTTCTCCCAGCTGTCGGGTCATAGATACTTTTTGAACAGGGCACCCTGCCTAGATGGGGTGAACATCCAATTTCTCAACAGGGTAAAACAGAGTTAGTAAAATCAAATTTAGATGAGAAGATAGAATAAAGGGACAGAGTGACATGCGTGACTATGTTGGGAACTATGACATTCGTCTGGATTGCTCTATAACCACTGGTCACAGATGGCAAGCTGAGGATGTGAGGTTACAGAAAAAGCAGCCAGGAGAAGGAGAAGAGCCCGTTTTCCTCTGACCCCAAGTTGCTGGAATAATGGTCAGGCCTCACAGTGTTTGATTTTATTTTCTGGTGATTTCATTTTTCATTTCTATATTCCTTCACCCCGGTCTCCCATCCCTAACACTAACACAGATGACTAATTTTGAGATCTGGTGGATTTCTAATTCTACTTGATTTCCCAATGTTTATTTACATCAACAGTCCAAAGCTCCTTCCATTCTGGTCCTGGCTGGAATACATACATCAATATTATCTCTAAGAATTCCTCCTTGCTCAAATGAAGGTCACCCACTGCTGATGGACTGCTCAGCAACAAGACAGGTAGAGACATTCCTGGATGGAGACTGGAACCAAGCAGCATTTATCAAGGAGTTGTATCTGAGAATAACCCTAACTAAATGATATTTTATTCCTGGATATAATCAGACCCACAATAGATAACAGCACAGGCAAGGCAAAACCCAAGTCAAGTTTTGTTTCATTCTTTGTTTTTTTTACATCTGACTTGAGATTCTGGTCTCATTAATTAAGCCTTCCGGGGACAGAAATTATTTTGCTACTTTCCCAAATATATATACGATTTACATTATTTGGTGTTCTTAAGTGTGAAACTTTACCTGTTGGAGATTACTAAAACCCTGAATTGTTGCTGACCTCACTTACGACCCAGACTGGCAGATTCCCAAAAGCTATGTAACTTCTAATCCTCATTCCAGTTGTAAAAACAACTAAACAGAAAGAAAATGGCCATGTTTCTCTAGCATTCCAAAATATAAGCAAGCACTGGTTTCACACACGCCTTATTTCATAGACATTGTAACCTGCCCAACTGATGGCAAAAAAAAAAAAAAATTAGGCAATTATGATGTGGCTATCATTGATGGGAGGGGCTCGTCATTCTTTCTGCTTTTAAGTTGTCTTCTTTTATCCAGATAAAGACACTGTTGTTCTTCTTGCTGAACAATCTATCAATCCTGTTCATTCTTATAAAAAGCTTGGGGCTAAGTGGAAATAACTGTCAGTATATCTGGTGAAAGGGGAGAAGAGTGGCAGGGGCCAATGGGGCCTATTTTTCCATGTAGAATGGGAATCTAGATAGTTTACATTAACCCTCTTTTTCCTGGAGACCATTAAAAAACAGTTCCTGGTTTCCAGAGGATCAAGTTTCAAAAGTTCATCCCTAAAATAAAATTAAATGCAATGGTAGGGTTTTCAGGGCAGTCTGACCTTCCAACATAGAATTTTGAAAATTTATTTAATACAATACCAATTAATAGCACTACTGAGATCTCACCAAAATGTACAGCAATGTTTCTATGAAAAATACGTTTTCAGGGCCAACTCGGGATGTGAGGAACCACCCGACGTTTGTCGTCTCCCTCCTCCCCAGTCACGCAGGGTCAGTACTTGCTCCAGAAGGGGTGGCGGTGGCTACGGGCAAGGGGCTGCTCAGCGGCATGATCTCATTCATCTGCTTTCTTTCTTCCCCAAAGGGTCTCAGAATTAATCTATTTTCATAACATTCTGCTGACACTACATATAGCTTCCAAGCTACCCAAGGATTTTTCTCCTCTTTTATGACCAATAGGGAATTTATTTAAAGTTTCCTAAGGGTTTTAAATGCTATTACCAAAAAGAATGTTCCCTCATTGGGTGTGGTTTAAAAAAATAACCCTGGGACAGTGATGGTAAGTAAACACTAAAGCTAGAGAAAGAATCCCAGGTAGGGCCCTAACTGCCCCTTTCTTCCCCCTTCAGTCATAGACAAATTCAGCAAGGCCAGCTGAAGGGCAAGTGGACACTAAAGGATCATTCTCATGCCCTATCAGCTATACCTGAACTATTAACAAACTGAATGTTCTTAAAGCAAGGATTGTCTACACTGTGATTCACTGTCCTGGAAGTCGTCACCCTCAGTCAGTACCTCTCACTGTTTCAAGCACTCAGCCTTGACAGACACAAGAAGTCCTGTGAAAACGTGTGCATGAGAGTGTACACGCACATGTGTGCGTGTATGTTTATGTGTATGTAGAGGTCGAAGAGAGTGGCATAAAGCAAGAATGCAGAGAATTAGCACATGAAGACAATTTCCTTGTTCACAAAAGAGAAGCTAGGCCCATGCTTCTGGATGTAACAGAAGTGGGGACTCCGTAACAAACAGATTCTAAAACTCTAAAGGTGACCGGAAGGAAAGTCTGCTGCCTTCCTAAAATGGCCCTAAGAGTGAAGCCCGCATCATCTCACTTCCAGCTCTACGGTGCCTCCTTCGTCCAGAAATGACCTTTATCTTAAGGGTGTTAACTATAGGATTCTCTGTGCTAAGCTGATATATGAGGCACCAAATTTCATTTGGAAGTGAGAGGAATTCATGGTCAAGCCAAATGGCACACATATGTCTTCTTTCAAGAAGCACCTCCTTTCACTGGAATTCATCCCATTTTCACGGGCTTAATTCATGAGGAGACCCCACTGCAGGAGGCAGCTGAACAGTGCCGTACCTCCGCCTCGCACTCATATCCACAGGCTCGTCACTGATGTTTTCTTTGCCGGGCCTTCCAGCAGTCCTGTTGTCTCCATGAGGCCTGAGATTCCCATTGAGCTTCTCTTCATATCCCTTGACACCACTGCCATCCTGCTTGGTGGGCAACTCGTGTGGCACCTCAAGGTTCGCCAGATCCTTCCGTTTAAGCAGTGCCAGCATTTTCAGGCGTTCCATGGCCTCATGCCCCTCCATTTTGAGTCGCTTAGCCAGGACATCATCTCGCTCATCCGCTGGGTCCAAGCTCCGCTTCAACAGGTTCAGGCGAAGAGCATCTTCTGTCATTCTATCCATCCTACGGAAAGGAGAATACAAGTGAGATCAGAACCCAGCCCCTTCAACAGTCTGTAAGGACTAGGGTGAGTGGAAGAGGTACTCAGAAGAATCACAGCGACACCCAGCTGGCTCAGTTGGTAAAGCATGCAACTCTTTTTTTTTTTTTTTTTTTTTAAGATTTTATTTATTTATTCATGAGAGGCGGAGAGAGAGAGGCAGAGGCAGAGGGAGAAGCAGGCTCCCCGCGCGCGGAGCAGGGAGCCCGATGCGGGACTCGATCCCAGGACCCCAGGATCATGACCTGAGCCGAAGGCAGACGCCCAACCGACTGAGCCACCCAGGCGTCCCAAGCATGCAACCCTTGATCTCAGGGTTGTGAGTTCAAGCCCCACATTACAGAGCTTACTTCAAAAAAATAATCATAGATACATGGAATTTCAAAGGTCACTGAGCTAACCTACCTTCTATCTTTCCAAAACACCTATACTAAAGGAGATTTCTCCATTGTCAACTTTAGCAGTGGAAACTAAACTTCAACTACCTTCTAGTCATTGAGGTCCTTACTATATCACCACTACACTCACCTGGATGGTCCATTAAAAGCCTACATCTCTCAGAAAATAAACATTTTTTTTTTTGTGACTGGCTTTTTGTGTCTGTATGCTCAAAGTCAGATGCGTTGGTTTGTTGTTGGTTTTTTTTAAAGATTTTGTTTATTTGTCAGAGAGAGCGAGCGAGCACAAGCAGGGGGAGCGGCAGAGGGGCTCAGGACTCGATCCCAGGACCTTGGGATCATGATCTGAGCCGAAGGCAGACACTTAACAGACTGAGCCACCCAGGTGTCCCAGATACGTTGGTTTTAACTATCATACCAAATTCTCCTGGAAAAGAATCTTTTATGAATGGGGAAGTTCCTCAAGTCACCCAGGCATATCTTTAATTGGCCTATCTTATGGAGGACTACGAGAAAGATGAAATAAAGAGCATTTAATGGGAAGCCTCAGTTATCTATTTTTTTTTTAAAGATTTTATTTATTTATTTGAGAGAGAGAATGAGAGAGAGAGCATGAGAGGGGGGGAAGGTCAGAGGGAGAAGCAGACTCCCTGCTGAGCAGGGAGCCTGATGTGGGACTCGATTCCGGGACTCCGGGATCATGACCTGAGCCGAAGGCAGTCGCTGAACCAACTGAGCCACCCAGGCGCCCGGGAAGCCTCAGTTATCTAGATGCAGCAAGTCTCTACAGATACACTATCTTTTTTTTTTTTTTAAGATTTTATTTATTTGACAGAGAGAGTCAGCGAGAGAGGGAACACAAGCAGGGGGAGTGGGAGAGGGAGAAGCAGGCTTCCCGCTGAGCAGGAGTCCAATGCAGGAAGCCTGACATGGGGCTCGATCCCAGGACCCTGGGATCATGACCGGAGCCAAAGGCAGATGCCTAACAACTGAGCCACCCAGGCGCCCAAAGATTCAATATCTTTTTTTTTTTTTAAAGATTTTATTTATTTATTTGAGAGAGAGAGAGAATGAGAGATAGAAAGCACGAGAGGGAAGAGGGTCAGAGGGAGAAGCAGACTCCCTGCTGAGCAGGAAGCCCGATGCAGGACTCGATCCCGGGACTCCAGGATCATGACCTGAGCCGAAGGCAGTCGCTTAACCAACTGAGCCACCCAGGCGCCCCCAAAGATTCAGTATCTTAAGACACTTGGCTTTAGGGGGTGCCTGGCTGGCTCAGTTGGTAGAGCAGGTGACTCTTGATCTTGGGGTTGTGAGTTCAAGCCCACTGGGCATGGAGCCTACTTAGAAAAAAAAAGATACTTGGCTTTAATGAAAGACTCAGGTGTTTAGGCTGATAAGAGGTAATACTTTCTCTACTTATGCAAAAAAATATAAAAGGCAAGAAAATTAACATTTTCCCTCTCACTTTGATTTTTTATGCTAAAAAAATCTAAATGGAGAATTTCTTCCATACTTTTAAATCCAGGGCTATTTTCCTGGTAGGAAACAGCAATGAGGCACTGGAAGGAACATTTTTTGAGTCATAGAAACATAGGATCAAACTGCTAATTACTTTTATAAGGTCAAATATTTAATAAGTTACTTTACCTCCCTAAATCTCAATTTTATCTGTAAAAGTGGGGACTCAGAAGATGCTCAACAAAATTTAATTTCTATACCCTAGGGTTATGACTTCTATACCTAAAACAATGAGATCAGACCCAATAATTCACAGACTCAAGGAGGACAGAGAAAACTGCCAGTGTTAACTGGTACTCTTGCAAAGAAAAATGGGTTTGTGTTTGAGGCATCTTCCTTCTTGTAGTGAGGAATAAAATAAGAGCTATTTGATCCTTTCCTGAGACCAAAAAAAAAAAAAAAAAAAAAATCCAACAAAAGGAAACAGACATTTTGGAGATCAGAAAAAAATCAGAAGCCATATCTCTGAATTTTTGGGTAATGTTTCTTCTTTTCAAAGATTTTATTTATTTATTTGAGAGAGGGAGAGCACAAGTGGGGGGGGGGGAGGGGCAGAGAGCAAGGGAGAAGCAGACTCCCAGCCGAGCAGGAAGCCCAACGTGGTACTCGATCCCAGGACCCTGGGATCATGACCTGAGCCGAAGGCAGACGCTTAACGACTGAGCCACCGAGGTGCCCCGCAGGGAGAGAATCTTAAGCAGACTCCATGCCCAGCACAGAGGGAGATGTGGGGCTTGATCTCATGACCCTGAGAGATAATGACCTGAGCCGAAATCAAGAGTTGGATGCTTAACTGACTGAGTCACCCACGCACCCCTGGACTTTTCATATAAATGGAACCATACGTGGGTTTTTTTTTGTGTGTGTGACTGGTTTTCACTGAGCATCATGTTTTTAAGGTTCATTCATGTTTGTAGCCTGTGTTATTACTTTGTACCTTTTTATCTCCAAAGGATATTCCATTTGTATAGATGTATTTTGTTTATCCATTTATCAACTGATGGACACTTGTTTTTTCCCCTTTTTGCTATTATGAACAATGCTGCTATGAACTTTTGTGTACAAGTTTTTGTATGAACATGTTTTCAGTTCTCCTGTGTAAAGAACTAGGAGTGAACTGCTGGGCTGCATGGTAGCTCTTTGTTCAACACTTAGAAGACGTGTTGGGCTGCTTTCCAAAGGGGCCCTACTATCTTACGTCACCACCAGCAGCGCATGAGGTTCCAACTTCTCCATATCCTCTTAGTTTTAACAACTTCAGATAGGAGAGATATTATAGAATATACAAACAGTGTTTGGCTACAGGTCCCCCTAAAGATCTGGTATTTTGATACACATTATTTCTGAAGTGGTTTACTTCTGAAAAATACCCACAAGGTGGAAACTGGAAAGCTGAATGCTATGGAACATCAAAAGTTAAGTCCCAACTCCACAGTAACAGTGTTCCAGGGAACTTGATCAACATCTCATATTGACGGGCACCTGGGTGGCTCAGTTAGTTAAGCGTCTGCCTTCAGCTCAGGACATGATCCCAGGGTCCTGGTATCGAGTCCCACATCAGGCGCGCTCTGCTCAGTGGGGAGTCTGCTTCTCCCTCTCCCTCCCTCTCTCAAACAAATAAATAAAATCTTTAAAAAAACAAAACATCTCATACTGAGAGGTCCACTGGGAAGTTGCAGGTGGGAAAAGTCTGTTACTTAACTGATCATACACCTAGATGCAAAAAATACTCCAGAAAAGAACACAGCAAGACATATAAATGCAAATTAATATGGCACAGTGTTCCAAGTTTTGGGGCAAATTATATTCATGAGCACTGAAAATATATAACAAAGCAACAAAACTTCAATAACCTAGAGTTGAAGGGAGTCTGGGACACCATCATCATCCTGGCTTCTCAGATGCTTATATAAACAGTTGAACACTGCTCAAATACCTCCCCCCCCATTATACTCCAATGAAATAAAGAGATACACTAGAAGTTGGCAGAAACTAGAAACATATTTTTTTAAACATATATATATATATTTTTAAAGATTTTATTTATTTGATAGAGAGAGACACAGCAAGAGAAGGAAAACAAGCAGGGGGAGTGGGAGAGGGAGAAGCAGGCTTCCTGTGGAGCAGGGGCCCCTAAACATATATTTTTGAAAGATCTTATTTATTTATTCGACAGATAAGAGACAGAGCGAGAAAGGGAACACAAGCAGGGGGAGTGGGAGAAGCAGCAGGCTTCCCGCCGAGCAGGGAGCCCAATGCAGGGCTTGATCCCAGGACCCTGGGACCATGACCTGAGCCGAAGGCAGACGCTTAACGACTGAGACACCGAGGTGCCCCAGAAACAGATATTTCAAATTTCTAAGGTAAGTAGTCTTTCCCAAGAGATGCCTTGAGAACTCTGACCAAAATTTTCCTTACTTGCTTTTTACTCATCTAGCCATTCTGCCTCAAAATCCAATAAAACATGGAGGAATCTTGAAAACAACATGCAAACTGAAGTCACACACAAAAGGACAAGTATTTTATGGTTCCACTTACATGAGATACCTAGAATAGGCAAATTCAGAGAGACAGAAAGTAGATTAGAGGCTACCTGTGACTGCAAGTGGAGGCAGGGCAGTGAGGAGCTATGATGTAATGGGAATGAAGAAAAAGTTCTTGGTGGCACCTGGGTGGCTCAGTCGGTAAACGTCTGCCTTTGGCTCAGGTCATGATCCCAGGGTCCTGGGATCAAGCCCCATGTCGGGCTCCTTGCTCAGCAGGGAGCCTGCTTCTCCCTCTCCTTGCCACTCCCCCTGCTTGTACTCTGTGTTAACTAAATAAATAAAATCTCTAAAAAAAAAAAAAATCACTAAAACATAGACTTAAAATTATACTCCAATAAAGCTGTTAACACAGGGGCACCTGGGTGGCTCAGTCAGTTAAGCGTCTGCCTTTAGCTCAGGTCATGATCTCAGGGTCCTGGGATCGAGGCCCACATACCCTACATCCAGCTTTCTGCTCAGCGGGGAGCCTGCTTCTCCCTCTCCCTCTGCCTGCCACTC